TGTGCTGTGCTCCTCCTGTGCTCCTATGGCCCTTGTAGCTCATTCTTCATTTTTGTGGTCTGGATTCACTAGCAGTTCCATTATCAGCCTTTTTTCCCCTCAAATTTGAATTCTGGAAGTCCAGGGTGATGCTCTGATCTATTCTGAGATGGAGGAAGGATGCCTCCCAGTTTCACTCTGTCCCAAGGCTAGGCTGCATGCATCCTTTACACTCCCTGCTCTAGGCCCCACTGCCCGGAGAATCAGAAACAAGTTTGCAAAGTGTAAACTGGGATTTCAGGTGACCCACCGCAGCGGACTCCATCGCACACGTAGCAGCTGGGCAGGCGCTGCTGAGTAGATGGACATGCCACCCAGCCAGGGACATTCTGTCCACCACTGTCCGACAGAGTGCCTGCTCCGGAGAGACCCACTTCGCCACCCTGGACATTCTGTCCGCCTTGAGCTCCACGCGTCAAGGACATTCCGTCCGATTCTGAGGTGGCGCAGGGTCTGGGCCCATCTAGACCCCGACACCCCAAGCCYGACCCTCCACTCCTGCTGCTTGATTACTAGGACTTCCAGCCTTAGTCCTGCGGCTCTCAAAACCGCCACCTGACCCAGTCGCTGCCGGTCTCTCACAACACGGCTCTTATTCCAACTGCAGAGCAGCTGGGAAGAGAAGAGTGTGCGACCAGGCGCACCCCTGTTTCCAGTCCCAAAAGTCTGCCTGAGCCTGGGCTGAGGGGCGTCGGGCGCCGCCAATTGCTCGCATGTTGGGCGGCCGCCGGCGGCTTCCCAACTGGCCAAGGCCACTGCAACCCCTTTCACTCCCAGGCTGTCTTCCCTGTGCCCCTGGATTCCAGGGCGCTTTCTGGTAATGGTTTCCAGACTCCCTACTCCTTACTTTGCGGAGCCCCTGTCCTGGCTTCAAGTCTCCAGCTTCACTCCGGATCCCCTGAGTCTCCCACTGCTGTCCCTCTGGTCCTTACTCTTGAGTTTTCCTTTTCCCAAATCCTAGAACCTGGTCTACAATATGCCCTCCCAGTCTCGACCTGCTCCCCAGGTACTGGAGTTACACTACCCAGGTCCCATTTTAGGGGTCCGGGGATCTGCCAAGATTCCTTAAGCTCCTGTTCCCGCATACGGTTAAGAACTCACAGTGTGTCCCGCAGCACGCGCACTCCAGATAGCGGCGGTGGAGGTGACGGTCTGGAGGGCAGGCAGGGGCCAGGGGCCAGGCACCCAGCCGGGGTGGGGGCCGCCCCCTGCTACGGGGCAGCCGCTTGGCTCTGGCGCTCCCAGACTCGCGGAGGGAGTGAGCGAGCCTCAGCGTGGACTGCCACCCCCTGCCGAAGCCCATTCACTTTATGGCAGCACAGGGCGCCCCCAGCCCGCAGCCGCGAGCGGTGCGCCTCCCGACCCGCCCCTTTCCAGCTGCGCCGCCCGGGCTCCACCCTTTCCAGCTGTGAATCTTCAGGCCCCACCTTTAAGGGAGGGGTGCGTCCGGCGGGCCGCCAAGAATCCCGCCTCTCGACCAATCAGAAGAGCGACTCAACAACTAGGCCACGCCTCTCCCACGTGGCCGAGAGCTGTTCCATCTAGCAAGCTTTTGCGGAGCTCTGCGGGCTAAAGTAGTATGGTCTCCCTATCTTGGGGGAGCTAACCCTCGGCGCGGTAGGCCCCGCTGCTATCTGAAGCAAAGTGGAGTAGTGCCGGAGGAGAGGGCTACTGGGGTGCTAGGAGGAAAGGCGCAAGAACCCGCCTGGTCTCAGCGCTCAGACTTCCCTGCCGCTCAAGTTTCGCCCATTTTCCCACTTGTTGCTGTCCGTCTCTCCGCTCTTTTGTCTCCTTTACAATCCTCCCACGTCTCGCTTTTCTTTCCTCTTTGCCGCTTCACTCCTGTTGTTAGACCCTTTCCTCCCTCCTCTGCCACTTGGATAGGCTAACTTCTCTTCCTCTGTGACTTTTCTTCACATCTCTCTTTTCAGCTATCCGCCCTGCTCTCCCGGTTTTTAGATTCCCTCTTCTCCAAGGAAGGTGACTTCGTGGAAAAAGCAGGGTTTGGGATGAGACAAACCAAAGTGTTTTCCAGCCCTACCATTAACGGTATCCTCGTGGAGTGGCGTTGTACAAGTAACTATTATTGCTTCCCTAAAATCCCTAAAATAAAAATGCTCCTGCTGGCTCTTTGGGCTTGTGTTGGGTACTCTTCAAAGGCACAGGCCTTTCACCTCTCTCTTTGCATTTTAGTTTTGTTGGTGCTGTGCTTTCTCAGCTTTTGGAGGACTGGTGTCACCAAGGTGGTCCTAGATTCAGGCTTGGGCACAAGGTGTGGCCGTGGTACTTGTGGTTAGGAATTTGCAAGGGATATCCAAAGAACATGTGAAGTTAAGCTGGCTTGCTTATGTGCCTTAAGACTGGGATCAGTCCACACAATATGCTTCTAAGGCAAACCTGACCACTCTTCAATGGCTCCTGATTATCCTCAGGATAAAAATCAAGCTCTGTAGTCTGACAGTATATAATAGATTAATAGACCTTTAGGTCCTGACCTTGTCTTTTTTTTTTGGTACCTGGGATTGAACCCAGGGACACTTAACCAACCACTGAACCACATCTCCAGCCCTTTTTAATATTTTATTTAGAGACAGGATCTCTCTGAGTTGCTTAGGACCTCGCTAAGTTGCTGAGGCTGGCTTGAACTTGTGATCCTCTTGCCTCAATCTCAGGAGCTGCTAGGATTAGACGTGTGAGCCATTGCTCCCGCTGACCTTGTTTTTATTTCCAATCTCTGAGTAGTTTTCCTGCACATCCTGGCCTTTCCTGTAACCAGTCTTTATCTTGCCAACTTTTATTCATTATCCTAAGTTCCCCTCAGGCCTCATTCTCTCTGGGAACCCTTTTTTGAACTTTCAGATTAGCCAGATGTCCAGCTTCTTGCTCCCAGTGTATGCACAAGACTTCCTTGTGCATACACTGTTACCTCACCCACCATATTGAAGGGATTAGTTGATGTGTTGTCCTCTATAAGACAGATTTAGGAGATCAAGGTCTTCTGCATACTTCTGTTTCCAGGCATAACATAGAAACTCAATAAACATATCATACTGAAATCTAATAGGAAGATATTTTACCTGGTTAGTAGTTAGGAGGAGCTAGGGAATTATCATCCCTCTCGTTCTCATCTTTAATGCACAATMATATGTTTTATTGATAATGAATATCTGAAGGTATGTGGAAGCAGAGGTAGGAGAGTAGGGAATTTGGGCCATTTAGAGAATTTTCAGATTGGTTCTGAGACAGGCCCAGGAGGCCACGTTCCATTTTTCAAAAGAAGAGAAAAATGGCTCAAAAGAAAGAGATGCTAATGAGCTGTTTCCTCTTTCCCTGACTCCCTTTGGGTGAGAAAGGCAAGATCTTGAATTGGTCTCAGAGACAAGAACCCTAATGCAGGGAGCTGTTGAGGGGTTCTTTAGGTCAGATGTCAGGTATGATGGGTTCTTCAAATTAGAAGATCACAATACATGGATAGTATGTGAATGCCTGGTTTTGAGGCCACATTTCTGTAGGGTTAGGTATAGAGCTTCCCTGAACTTGAATTATCCATAAGTGGGAGGAAGTGTAGAGAGAGTTGGCATCTTTTTTTCACTGCCTCCCAGAAGCCTGTCCAAGACTGCAGGGACACCTAGGTTCTATTCAGCAAGCAGACTAGGAATTCCACCATTCAGTCTGCAAGAAGAAAACCCATCCTTTGTTCTCTTCCCATACTCACTCACTTCTAGACAATTCTAAATATCTTAGTAACCTCTGTCATCTTTTGTGGAGGGGCTGTGGCAGCTAGCCATGGCAGCAGAATGAAAAAATGGGTGGGCACCCAGCCCTCAGCCCTTTTAGCATTTCTAAGACTAACAGGAAAGGTAAACCTGTCAGTGGTGATGTGGACTAACCTGTGTGATTAGCTTTTTACCCTGTTTGATGAGGTGTGTCCATTGTTTGATATGAGAGAGCTCAGAGTTACAGCCAAATAGACTAAGGCATAAGAGGTAGCAAGGAGCAATGAAAAAGTGCTGGACTCGCGCTGGCTTGGCATGCGTGTGGCCCGGGTTCGATCCTCAGCACCACATACAAACAAAGATGTTGTGTCCGCCAAGAACTAAAAAAAAAAAAAAAAAAAAAAAAAAAAAAAAAAAAAAAAAAAAT